TATGTGTCATGTTTGCAAATGCTGCTACATCTTAGATAGAACAGGCTTAGAGCAGTTAATTTTGTTGTAATATATGGAAGGACTGTACAAGCTGAAGGGGATAACGCACTTTTGTCCAATGTGGAGATATTAGCAAGGCTCTGAAATTGTACATACTGCTTAGAATCAGATTTTTGTGAGTGAAATACTGTCTTTTAATTCTCTGGCAGTGGAGACGAGGAATTCCAACTTCACGTGTCAAAGGATTAAAACTAACTAAATAAGAACACTACATCTTGTGCTGTATTCAGGATTAAGATACTGTAAAAAGCCTGAGAGCACAATAGAAAATTTCTATTCTATGTGAGGGAAACATCTGAACAATGAGACCACCATGATTACAAGAAAAGCACTTTATTCCGATAATTCACATAGTAAATTTCTGGGATCAGCCATTGTCAAGGAAAGCTTGCCCTCGTGAAACCCAGCATGTCATCCGTGACTGTGGTACCAGATTGACTCAATTTAAGACATTGCGAGAAACACTGCCGCTAGGAAGATGTCTTTCCACATCTGAAGATCTGTACCTAACAGAGCATGTGCATAAACTTTAGCTTTTTTCTTCAGCAATGATAATCTTAATAATAAACCCGTTGGTGCTAGGAGCTGGGATGTTACGCAGTGCAGGGATGTGCACCGCGCTCTTGCTAATGACATCCGAGAACCCCAACTCCATGGGATTATCATTGGAAGTATCTCTGTGTTTGTATCTTTTTAGCTCCCACAAAGACTGTGATATCAGAACATTGCGCTGTGTGAGTGAGGGAATGGGTCTGAAAGAAGACCATACCAGATGCCTCCTTAGCCCCTTGATGTGGAGTTGAGTGTCCCGGCGTGAAGCCCACTGCTGGCAGTGCACGTGCTGGGACTGACAAGGGGCAGTCGGGCATTTCAGCAAGGCAGCTAAAGACGCAGACTAGTTTAGACAATTTTTAGTGTTTTATCTTTAGCGATGGACGGATAATCAGTTAGAACTGTATCACGATGTATATGCTAAGTACATAGGATCTGATGCTGTCACCTTCTAACACTAAATGTGTAAAGATTATCCCTCTGTATGGAGTGAGCGCAGTAAATGCATGGCAGGTCTGTAGAAGTGTCTGCGCTGACAGTGAGTGAGTGACTGAAGTAACTGATGACGCAGTAGATGGGCATTATAATTTTCTGCAAAGGCCTCAAGCTTAAGAGGCTGAAACTATGGTGGTTCAAAATCTGTGTTCCGTGCCTGTGGTGTTATTTTTTTCCAACGTTTTCAGCTTATAACAGCAATAAGGTTTTTGACACAGGGCACCTATAGTTCTTGGCTGAGTGGAGCTGTGCCTCTGGCCAACCCTTCCTCATGCTGAGAAGAAAGGGGCCCTGTGGGTGGGTTTGATTCATCATTGCATAGCTCGTTAGAATGCAGTTTGCAGTAAATATCTGTCGGTGAATTCTTTGGAAACCTCTTAAGGCTTCATTCAACTTGCATTGTGTTGCTGCCTTCCAAAGTCTCATTCATCAAGTATATGCTATGAAGAGTTAGCAGTCATTTAATGCTGCCCCAGGCTGGGGGATTCTCTCTGAGCAGTGTTAGAAATGGATGAAAGAAGAATTCAGGCTGTGCTGAGAGAAACTTTGGAAGCTCTTTTTTTCCCCACTTGCGGTTGTAGTTGGGCTTGGGCAGCACGTGGTGGTGGCTGGGTACCTGATGAGCCTTCTGAGCACAGTACATTTCAGATGCTGACTCCAGCTTGTACTGACTTCCATGACATACACTATGCCCTCTTGTACTGCAGCCATCTTGGAGAAATAGGTCATTTCTGTTTGGGTTTTGGCAGTTTTGCACACAGCTTTGCTTTCCACACGAATCCATCTTCCAGTACATTCCTGTTGCTTAAAGAACATTTATTCCAGTATTGTTTTCCATTTTTTCCATCTATCCTCGCGGCTTCTTAAAGCTGACTGTTCTTGCAGGGGCCATGTGCTTCTCCTAGAGTACAAAAGTAAGGTGTCTCCTTACTAACTGCAGGGTCTATATATTACACCTCAATGTACACACTTTGCTGCTACTGTTTGTACTGTCTACAGTAGAATTTCCTTATCTTGCTCCTGGTAGTGCATTACAGGCAAGCATGAAATGTAAAGTATTTATTTAAATAAAAACCTCTAAATTGGTAATTGAATTACCTCCCTGTAGCTTTAGAGTTTGTGACATTTCTTGACCTTGCTAGTTCTTTCATTAGATCCATGCAAGATCTAGTCATATGGTTAAGGATATTAAGCAGACACGACTATGAACCCAAGAAACCGTATTACTGTTGGTCATACTTAAACTGTTTATTTCCTTAAGTATATGACCCACAAGGATGTGAAATAACTACAAGAAACTGTTTTTGTACACTGTACATCCTTAGTATTTTTACACATATATGATAGGGATGCACATTATTTTCCTTCGTACAGACAGCTTAAATAAAGCACTATGTCAATCTGCTACTTCTGTGTTTTTTAATGCTAATTTGTTCTGGAGGTTTGTAAATATATTATATATATATGTTCAGGCTTGCCACAAAGGACATATTTTTTTATATCTGCACATTAAGTATCTTAGAGGATAAAGTTCTGAATTTGTTCTGTGTCAGAGACAGAAGAATGGAAGCGAGAAGGTGGTTCTGCAGATTACAAAAGATCTCTCGAGTTTTGGTTTAAATATTTACTTCATATTTTAAAATAATTTTATATAGGTTAGATGTTTTGATCCTGAAATGCACAAAGAATTGACTTAATTTCTTCTTACAAGAAAATGTACATCGTTATTTTTTTATCACTGTATGTATAATGATCTGTGCATGTTTAGTTACAAGTTTATTTGCTGTGAAGTCCTCGTGGTAACTGTTCCTTGTCGTGACCTATTTCAGATACTGGGTGAGCAGTTTCAGCTTGTAAATTCAGTTACAGTATTGTCACCAAGAAAGGCTTTTCTGGCTAAGCAAGATGTATTTGTGCTGTGGACCAAGGCTGTTTCCACGCACATGGTTCATGTTAACTCTTTGAGGTATATGTATCTTTTAAAAGTAAATTTGGGTTTTAATTTCCAAGTAATGATTACACAGGGCTGCATTCTATCAGAACACCCAGTATTTAAGTGCGTTGTCCTCTAGTGGAATTCATGTTCTCAAATCCTTTAGCTAGGTAATGTGCTGGAGGAGGGAGTCAGGGGAGGTGTGATTTGCAGGGCACCTTGAGGTGGGACTCATTGAAGCCCAGCTGGCCTGTTTGGGTCAGGAGGGCTGAGTGTCCCTGAGCAGTCTGGGCATCAGCTCAGTTCTCAGACATGAACCCTTCCCTGAAATGTGAGAAAATGTGTGAGCCAGCTCTTTTTCCTTCTTCTTTTTTTCTTTTTCTTTTTTTTTTTTTCTTCCCCAATAGGAAGGATGGAGCGCAGGAGAGATAGTTGCATTTGCAGTAGCAGATCAGTGACTGGGTCTCAGCTGGGACAGCAGGACCATCTGTTCAGTCTGCGTGGAGGTACGGGCACAGAGCACATCAGGGGGTGATGCTCCAGCTGAGACAGGGATCCTGGGTTTGATCACCTCATCTGGCTTTTGTATACTTTATAAAACCAAGCATTTTGTGGCTAAATGGTGAGGTGGGGGAAATGGGAGTTGGGAAGACCTGGCCCTGTCTGTGCCCAGCAAATAAGCAACTGCTACAAGCAGAGAAGCTGCTGCAGAGAAGTTGGTCCTTGTAGATGTGCACCCCAGTGGCTGGCAGTTGCCCTCTCCACAATGCCACCAGCACCAGCTGGCAGTGAGGCAGGTCCAGGAAGGGCGAGGTGCGGCTCCAGGGTCTCAGTGAAGCCTCAGTGCTGGGACTCGGTGCCTGAGTTCCTATGCACATGTAGCCGAGAGACACTTCTCCTATTGAAACATAGATTTATGGTGTAGAAAAAAAAAGTTTGCAGATTCTTACCTTTATAAATGCGTTCTTACCTATCTATAAAGTAGTGTCAGTTACAGAAAAAGATGTCCTCGAGTGTGGAGAGCCCACACTTGTGCTAGGCAGAAACCTTTGTCAGGCGTTCCTTCCTGACAAACCTGAGGCAGTGGAAGCACGTTTACTGTCATGGCAGGGAGGCAGGCTGGGGAGGGGCTCAGATGTGCTTGGCAGTTTCATATGGCAGGAAATTGAAATGGGAAGAAAACCACTTTGATGTTAAAGCTGTACCACTAATAATTCCTGAAATACAAGGGAAAGAAAGATTGCGTCCCACAGCAAATGGTTGGTGCATGTGCCGTTACTCCTATTTTTGCTACGTTTCATGTGTTCATGCTGGCTGGGGTAGCTTTATCACAGGGGAATCGTTCTCTGCACTTTTTTCTTCTCTTTACCACTGCGATTCAGCAATTACACTGAATGTAGAAACTTTTTTCTTGTATAGTTTATCATGCAGTAGTTCAGCAAAAGATTCAGATAAATTCTTTTTGAAAGAACCTGGCATTTGGAAAGTCATTTCAAAAATACAAACGTGAAGGCAAGCTGAAAAAAAAAGTCCTCCAAATGTATTTCCAAATGTTTCAAGTTCAATAATTTGCATTTGAGTTCAGCTGCTGCCCATCCCTGAGGCAGCCAAGTGTCTGCCAGCAGGGGGGTCCCAAACAGCTTCCTTGGTGGCAGGAACCCGGCACCGCAGTGCCTGTGCTAGCTCGGGTCCCTTTGTCCTCAAGCCTTTGACCACTAAAGGGAAACCTGCCCCAGGGAAATGACTCAACCATTCTCATGCTCTTCTGCTGAATAAGTAGTTGTTTGTTAGGACTCAGATTTTTGTGTAAAGGAGACAAACACTTTGTAAACCTCAGTCTCCCAGGTAGGTGCTGGTAGTGAGTCCTTAACACAAGCCTGATGTATCTGTGCTAGGCTTGCGCAGTCTCCTCTTCCACATACACATGCCTTCCCTTGAATACAAAAGGATGCAACCAGGAGAAAAAGAATTAATAAACTAATTTATTGGGACTGCCATCGGGAAATAAGACAGACATCTGTATTACAAAAATAGATAAAAACATTTTATAAAAATTGTAGGAATAATGAATCCAGTACGTGCTCCATCACAGCTGTTGACATTGGATCGCAGTGTCTTAGGCAAGTCTGAGATGTCTTCCTAGAAAGTTCAGTAGGGGAGTAACGTTTCAGTATGTTGATGGCACTATAGTTAAAAACAAATGCAAAGCAGGTGAGGGTAGGCAGCACGTCTGCTTCTCTGCAAATGGTTCTGTGTGAGCTTCAGAGAAGCCCAAGTTTCAGGCGCGTACAGAGGAGAACTGAAAGAAGAAAGAGATGGGAGCGGAGCGTAAGTAGTGTGTATGGAGCTACTTGCACTTCTTGTTTGTGTCACTTCAGCCTGGGGGTGAGTGCTTAGAAGAGAAATACATAAATGGTTAAGAATGTGGCAATTGTAAACAAGCACTGTTCCGAAGCCTGGCTTCCTGTGGGCCTGCTGTCCTGCCTCTTTCTAAGATCAGAACTCTTCCAGGTAACAAGCGCAGGAGCTGTTTGATTTCTGAAAAACAAGGTCTCCCTGAGCTTTAGCCATCACTCGTGTTTAGCAGTAAATGACTGAGCTGCTGTTTTGGGGCACGTCTTAGATCCTGCCCCTTCTTCCTTCCAGGAAGGAGGAGGCAGGGTTGTGCCAGAGAGTGTTTACTGTGAATTGTACAGACTGTATATGGGGTGGGCAGCTGTATCAAAACAGGAAGCTGCCTGCACGCTGTTAGAAAACCTCTGGTGGGAAGGCTAATATACAGTTTTGAAGCTCTTGCATAGCTATTGTTTGTGCTTCCTCAGTAGCACTTCAGCACTTCATTAAGACCGAGAGATAAAGCTCTGCTGGAGCTGGGGTGGATACCCAGAATTAAGTGACTGGAGTTCTGAAATTTGAATTCTAAGAGATGTAAATGACCTCAGAAATAAAAATAAACTTTCCACATCAGCTGGTTTTATGTTAGAGGACTTAAGGGTTTTTCTTTAAAAAACACAACAAAACTTGATAAGGTAATGAAGGCAGAGTTAAAAAAGGATTTATAATGCTGCAGTTCATTAAAGAATTAATTAAAAACAGTAACATGGTATTTTTTTTTCCAAGAATACATGCACCACATTACCTGCGGTGGTGATCAGCGCGCTGCAACACGAGCAAAATCCAGGGAAAGACATAGAGGTTGAACTCAGTATCAGTGACTGCTCAGAGGAAGCCTCCTCTGTGCTGCACTAACCCCTCTACATAGGGCCAGCACCAGACAGAAGATGACAAACTACACCCACCCTGCACTGCTGTGCTCCTGGCCAGGCACCTTGCAGGAGGTGTGGATCCTGCCTACAGCTGCAGGCTCATGGAACTGGCCATGCTCACACGATGCAGCACTGGAAGCATTCCTATCAGGGCAGCCAGGCATCAGATGCTGTGCTGGCTGTCTCCCTCTCTTCCTTTCATAGTTAACTAACTCATCATTGCTCAAAAAATCACACCTTGTCTGCAGAATGTCACTGGCTATTACAAAAACCTGGCAGAAGCACATTTTTGTACATTAAGACTGCACTAAAAAATAAGGCCCTCCTCCCCACCAAGTAGACTCCTGAAAGAAGTGAGGACCTTGTAAGGATCAGCCCAAATCAATTCCGACATCGAAGATGGAAGTGCTACTCATCTTATGGCTGTGCAAAGGGCAGCTTCAGCACTTAAGTTGAAAAAAAGGGCAAACTAAAGCACTTGGGAACCCATCCAAACTCTGTGCTTGTTGCTGGGGCCCCACAACAGACATAAGAAGACAAAGAACATCTCAGAACAGCTGCAACTCTAAAAGTACCTGTATGAAGTGAGGGGGGGGGAATATACTCAAGGTTGAGTACATTTTATATTCCTTTTAGGAATAGTGGTTTAGTCACAGGCTTGCTGTAAAACAGGACGTCTCAAATGAGCGAGGAGGCAGGTTCATTGGCACAATCTGGAGAGCACGGGGAGATGTTCAAGGGAGAAGGCAGATCTGGCTGGTGGTAACCCAAGGTCCCAGCCCTGTTAGCTGTGTGCACACAGGTGGGACACAGCTGGCAGCAGCCCCTCAGGCAACCGCAGTCTGCAGGGGGATTACAAACTGGGACAGATACCTACTTCTGTAAAACTGATGGACACCAGGGCAGATCCTGCAAGTGAAGAGCATTCCAGCATTCAGAAATGTTGGGTAGACAGTACTCAGTTTTTTAGAAATCTCAGTTTTTTCTCTGTTTTGTTTACTATATTATGTACATTCGTATTTAGTACCCAGGATGGGAGCTGTGTATCGCGCTCTCTTGATTTAGAGTGACTGGTGATTTAAGACTTTCAAAAGCAGAAATTCAAATTATGAATCTTCCAAAAGCTTTCAAAATAAGAGGTATAAATCCTGTAATTAAACTTTTGTCTGCCTTCAGGTGGACCTGCCTATGGTAAACTATATTCCATTATTAACTATTAAACATCAGTGTAACGGCTTCATCTGCAGCACACACTGTAAGCTCAGGCTGAATTATCATACCAATCCTTTTTAGCTCTATGAAAATTAAAATTATGATTTCAGAATCTTCATCATGTTGTACCCATTACTGCCTTACGCTAGAATGACAAAATTCTACTTCTCCACTTCCCAAGGTCTCTGCCTACAGCATACTTCAATTTTAGAAAAGAAGATACATAAGGGAAGTTTGACAAGGAAATGAACTGGGAAAGCATTAACAGTGAAATAAATCAGTGCTAGAGTGGGAAGGTGTATAGATAATTGGAGCCTTCTGCTATCCTCTGTGGGACAAACAGACAGAGCCCCAAATTTGCAGGAAGGTGATTTACTGGGATTCTTCATGTCATTGTTTCAAAGGATATAATTCATTGCTGAGAATGTCAGAGACACTTTTGAGTCCTGTGGCATTTGCCTTGGTCACTCCTGCAAGTTCCCACCAGGTCAAGATTTGTGTGTCTTTCCTTCCAGTTTAAATTTTAAAGGTTTTGTTTATTTTGTCATGTAAACCTGCTTCTATTGTGGAGTGCTTGCCCTGATCTTCAAATGTGGAGAAAAAACCACTCCACAAACAACACACTGACAGTTTCTAGCCCCAAAATATTTCAAACACTTTTTTCTCCCTTTTGTCTTGAAGTGTTTGCCAGATTCAGCCCACATCTGCAAATAGTTTTAGCTTTCTTTCCTCTCTCTCCTTTTTCTCTATATATAGTGTACAGAAAAAATACCTACTTGTTCTCATTTTTCTTCATCCATCCAGGTTTTTATTTGATTCCATCTGTGTCCTGTTTGAGATCTGCATCCCATTTCTTTTCCTGAAATACACAACTGCTTATCTTCCAAGATACAACAGCAAATTTTACATAGTGTATCTGACATCATTTTGCAAGGATTCAGTATAATTGGTTTCTCCCCCTTTCCCCAGAACCCAAGCTAACTGTAAAGGGTAACAATTGAGTAAGGCAGTAAACCAAGGTATATTTTCACCTTTAATCAATACTGATTACACAACTGAAGTTAGAAAATACATCTTTCTAAAATAACTAAATACATCTTTCTCTATGTAAAGTTTCCCATTTATGGTGAATTGTCCTTTTCTTCAAACAATTGTCTGATATTCCAGGCAGCTCTCTTGGGCTGAATCCCAGTTCCCAGAGAACACTGCTGTTTTAAATAGCTGCAAATAGGTTCTTAGTACTCATTTTGTAATAAGTTCTAAAAAATTTTTCTTCTAAGTGTTCCCAAGTAAAAGCATCCTCTGAAGCATAATCAACTTCTAATGAAGATACAAAAGGAAGTCAAGACTTGATAGCAATATAGCTCAATGATAGTTTTCCTCTTTTGTATGATTTTTGTACTTCTTCCCAACTCAATAAAAGCACATTTACTTCCAGATAAAAGAGATTATCAATAACAGAATCCCTGTGGACTTCTTATAAAGTCTTTTCCTATTACTAAGAGTGCTTCCCTTCAAGTAGTCATTTTCATCTGTGAACAGCAAACCTTCCTTAGCTGCCTTACAGAGAGAACACTGCTGTTGCCCTCACGCTTGCCAGTAGTTACTACATGCTGATAACCCAACACTATCTTAGTTACCAGGTTTGTCTGCCACAACAGGAAACAACAGGAAACCCTGCCTCAGCTACTGTTCAAATGATAATGCTGTGGAAGAGCGAATTTGCCTTATCTCTGAATAGGGAACACAAAAATCTTCTGATAAGAAAGCTAGGAATTGTAACCAAGAATAACTGCTGCTGTTCTCCTGTCTCTTCAAAACACTTCTTCCTTTAGTTTAGGCTGAAGTGGGACTCAGGTCCAGCTAACAGTCTCTCTGCAATTTAGTGGACTAATTTCTTTTTTTCATAAGTTAATACCTTATTTAAAACACCAACAAAAGCCAGCAGTTGAAAAGAGACTGCTGGTGGATTTCTCTGCTAAGGCTGTAGAACATCCCCCTCAGACTTCCTTTTCTTTTGGCACAAGTACCTGTGTTCGCAGAAACTGCACTTCTTCTGTCAGCAGCTGCTTCTCTTTGAAGAGCTGATTCTGTTTGTTGAGGAGCTCCACGAGCTGCTGGGCAGTGGCCTGGCAGTGCTTGTCCAGCTGGTGCAACCTGGAGAAAGAGATGAAAGGATTGCACTGTGCCTGAAGTGGGAGTGGGCTGCAGGGCTCAGACATTTGCACTGCAGGTGAAGCTCCCAGGTGACAGAGCGCTGTGTGGCATTGCACTGGGACTGAAGTATTGCTCCCAGGGTGGGCTTGCGGTGCATTTTGACTTGATGCTTTCAACAAGCATTTCTACATGTCTGCCCTTCTCATGACAGGACAGCAAGTCAGTGTCACAACATCAGTAAAGGCCCCAGGGCTGTATCCCAACATCTGCAGCTATGCAAGCTATGCCGTAAGCTATGCCTTGCTCTTCTCCAGCATAGATCAGGTGCTCTCCAACAGAGAGGCAGGGATTTCTCTGGAAAAACACAAAGAGCCCAAGGGTCCTGCTTTGTGACACTGCTATACAGAGGGCAGCTGCACCTTTTCCTTTTAATCCCCAACCCCAGACATCTCCAGTGACTGCTTAGCACTCTGAGTGCCACCGTGAACATTTTTAAGTTTGCCTGGATCTGTAGCAAGGGAAGTAAATGGAAATAAACTGGAAAATGCTTTCACATTAAATGCATTTCTTCCATTCTTTAAGTGGAAACACCTTTAACTAGAAGACCTCACAGATATCTTTGAATCTTTGTAAATATCTGAATCTAGAGAAAAACGTGCCTGGGAAGCAGGAAACAACTTGCTTTTTCTTATGGCTAGTTCTAGATCCAAACTTTCCACTTTTTTTTTTTTAAAAAGGATTTCTTGCTCAACATATTGAAATACAGCTTTCACTAAACAAGGTGCATGCTGCATCTCTCGTACGGTCTCTGTTTTTAATGGAATTAGTTATATGCTCACAGTAAGGCATATGATTTTCAGAATTTTTTACTTTCAAATCCATGTGGTAGCTTAGACTTGTACAGCTGTCATAACTCAGCTAAGATAATTGCTCTGAATATTCACATTCTTAACCAGGATTGTTCAAATGCCTGCATTAGTAAACACCTCCAAATTTCTTGATAGTGAAATCTCAAAATTTATATCAAAAACAGCATTTAGTGGTCTGTATCTGTCAGCCACTTTCTTTGAAGTCAAATTACAGGAATCCCACAGTGAACACTCTGAATGGATATATTTCATCCTGCCCTGTTACTCTGCTAATACATATTGCAGAGAGGGATGTGGGGAGCTGCAGGACCATCTCCTGGGGATCAGAACAAAAAAAAAAAAACTGCAGCAGGGCTGCAGACAGCGACAGCAGGTTTGTAAGCACCCAATGAAGTAAACAAAAAGACCACTTTAATAGCACAGAATATTCTGTTAAATACATACACACTGTGCGTTCAGTTGCATGTTCCCTATACTTTCTAAACTGTAGCACATAGATACATGGGCTGTTCATGCTTGATTTCTTTACTAAGTGAATTCAGGGGCATGGAACTCCCAAAAAAACCCAACAAAAAACCCAACCCAAAACAAAATTTTCTCATACAAAATGCCCTTGCACATTTTTTTTGTGTTCTGTTTTTAAAGATACTTGCACCTACAGAGCATCAGGTCGCTCCCACTGAGTGCAAGGAAAACTGCACTGTTTGCTGGAGGCAGTGGATCAGTTTCAGACTGGAGAGCTGAATTCTGCTTATGATTTTGCCATTGATTTCCTTTAACTTGACATTTTGCAACCTTATCACACTCCTTTATTTGTAATAAAGGCATCTTCCAGTCCTTTATTTATAGAGCACCTACTACTTTATAACAGTACTTGTAGGTAAGTGTAACTGGAATGTGCTGCCTTCAGGCAACCAAAAAAGCCTCCAGTGCCACACTACTTAGGTAGAGCCTCAAGGCTAAGAGATCCCCTGTGTGCACGGTCACCTCAGATAGTACAAAAGTCCCATTCAACAACGACCAACTATAGTCTGGATTCAAGCCATTAAAATGCAAGTTTCTGCTGAGTTCCTCATTACATTAGTACCTTTCCCACGATGCTAGCATTGCAGTCTGTTCTAAGGGTCTTTGAGAGACCACCTTATACAACATTTCTGGCACTGCAACTAAAGACACAGTTAAGTGCACAAACCTCTCATCAACATTTCTGCAGCAAAACGACCAATGCACCCTGCATGCAAAGGAACCTCCACTGAAGGAGCCCACAAGGAAAGGACCTTCCCTCTTCCCTTGTGAGTAGAAGGCTCCAGCTGAAGAGACCACTTCAGTGCAAGGAACCACCTCCAGTTCTGGCACACACACTGAAGTATTTTCCAGCTCATAGAAATTATATCAAAACTACACTTTCTACTAGATACTCAAAGGCAGCCCATGCAAACCACAAAAACATCTCTGGATATGGGCCTTAAGTGCTCTCCATTGTAAAGCTCTGTATCCTACCATATCCTGTAATGGGTAATTTGAATTAACTTTTGTAAATACAGAATTCTCTAGCATGTTTCATAACTTTATCATGTTACATCAGTCTTGCCCCTTAAACAGAGGTAGAAAATGAAGCAAGCGCTGAACTGGGCTTAGTTGGCAGACCAAACCTTTACTTGTATCACCTGTAGCCAGCTCCAGATACAGGGTTAATAATGTTCCTTCCTACAGCTCAGGGTCATGATAACGAGGGAGTAGATCTCATCAGTGCACATCTCAGTCTATTAATTCCCAAATTCTGTCTACCATTCTGCTCTCCCCAAATTACTGCCAAGCTGGCCCTGCACACTGGGACGACCAGCCTGCTCCGGTGCAGTCAGCTCCCGAGGACAGGCTCTGGGCCCTCTCACAGTGTCTGCTATTACGTGTGACATGTGCAGCACAGCCACACATTCCCATATGCATTGTATCTGGCCTGCCTGCTGATCTCGTAAATGATTCAAGATGAGAAATGAACAGCTCCACCCACATTCACTGTACTTCCCATATGTTACAACTGCACATCGATGCCTGCCATCATTTTTACAACTGGGTGACAGAACCTTCTGCACATTTTGCTAATACGAGTGAGTGAGGTTGTGCAGTCACCACATTCACTTCGGCAACACCATCAACTAAGCAAACATGCACCGTGTCCTGAGCGTGAGTGGCCACTGCACAACGGCCCACACATTTCCCAGTGAGTTCATTTTCCCAGTGGAGCATGAAGAGGTCCCCACTTGGGATGTCAGTGGCTGCTGCTGCTCTGTGGCCTGGAAGCACTGAAGAGTGGGACCTTATCCCAAAGTCTGCCATGCTGTTTCAAGGCACAAGGTTCAGAAACATGTTATACATGGACTGCTTACAGGACAACTTTACACCAACGAGTAGCTTCCATGTAGTCACAGCATCCTTAAAGTATTTTTTCACTCAAACTGAGCCAGCCTAAACCAGAATTCCCATTTCTACACAGAGGCAGGGGAAAGACAGTTTTGCACAGAGCATTGTTCCACTGGAGAGCAAAGCAGAGGCATTGCAAGCCACAGCAAGCACTTCATGGTGAGCATTTTGTTCTGATCCTGAACACCTGAGCTTGAGAGCAGCTCTGTGTCAGAAGGGCTCTGGGCTACCTTACCAACTTTGTGCAGCTCATGCTACAGCCCACAGAAGGGCTCATCTCTCACTGCACAGAAACTGAACTTGGATCTGAGTAGGCAGTCCTGGGGTGAAATAGAAAGGACAGGTGCATTTTGATACTTTACAGGTAGGAGCAGACAGACAGAAACTCCATGAACACAGAACGCAGAGCAGATCTAAGGCACCACGGTGAATTCTGCCCAGAGCAATTAACTGCACAAAGCTGGGCTAGTGCCATGTGCCCTACAGACAGGAGTAACAGCTTCCTTTTTCTACAGCCCCAGCACCAATCCTGGGGCACCTGCCAGGCCCCAGCGTGGATGCTATGAGCCCCTGCCCCAGGGAAGTCACAGGCCCATTAATCCACAGGCATCCGTGAGCCATGTGGGAGAGCCGGTTCCACAGGGGCCGGTGGGGCCTGTCAGCCCTCCTCCAGGTTGTAGGGCTGACATGGAAGAAATTAACATGCTGGGATTGGTGGGCAGCACCCATCCATCCAGGAGTGGGGATCAGTCCTTGACAACGCAGAGGCATTAAAAGGTTATTTACTCTTTCGGCACAGTTGGGGAACTAACGTAAAATGCCTTCCCTCTACTCTGCTGAGCAGAATCTGCTGAAATGGAGCAACTGGATTGCAGCAACATGCAGCAGCTAAATCACCAAATCCAATAACCACGCTGCATTTACTGGCACACATCTTAATTAGGTTTTAATACAAGTAATCTGATAACTACTGCTGGCCAGCCTGTGCGGAGCTGTCAGAGCTGAAAGGGCCGTTACCACCCCGCCAAAACCCCCCATCTGTCGGTTGCTGTGGAAACGGGGCAGCCCATCAGGCCAGGGCTCCCTGTGGCAGGGAAGGGCCCGAGGCCACAAAAAGCCTGAAAAGGGGACAGGCAGCAGCATGGTGCAGCATGCCGTCTGCAACGCCTCCCCTACCGGGAGGCTGGAGCACCAAGTGGGAGCATCTTGGTGCCCACGTGCCTGGGGATGGACCTGGCAATCAGGTGCTGCTTCTGGTGACCAGGGGAAAGATGGGAGCAAAGGCACAAACCCCAGGATCCTGCACAGATGCCGCTGAAGGAGGCTCTGCCCCAGAAGGAAGGCGATGGCAGACCTGGTGGTTGTCCATTTGTGTAGTATATGCCAGCCTTAAAAACAAACAGGTTACAACAAGAGGGAACAAACCAGTTAGGAAAGACAACAAAACTCAGCACTTTCCTTCAACAAGCTTTCATCTCTATTAGCACTGACTTAGGGCATCTTGCCTATTTGCTAATTTGCTATTGTACTGAAATGGTAGGAAGTAGTTAAAGTAGGGTACTTCACAGATAGCTGTACAACAACACATTTAAGGAGGTTGGCTTGTATATTCAAATAGAGGGTTAGGAAACACCAGAGCAAAAGCCCTCTGTGCAGCCTCTTCTGGCCCTGGCTCCCACCTCCACAGCAACTCCCCTGCTCTCACCTCTT